TTAAATCTTTGAAGGCTGTGGGTGCTGTTCAGCATGTTCAGGCAGTACTTTTTGAACCACTAACCTGTTGTTTATTCCAGCTGCAGCATAGTCCTCAACTGGGCAGCCCTGTCACCTCACCGGCCCAATCACCAGCACCAGCCCAGCTGTCAAACATGAAGAACATCCGTCCCACACTGACACCTCTTTCTATTGTGTCCCAGTTTTCTAGACCTTTTGTCCCTGGACAAGGTACATTTTTAATTAACTAAAATGTGTGTATGATTTCTATTTGAATGTTTTAAAATACAAGTTATATGAGGATTTTCTGAGGAGTTGTGGCTCACTTTAGTAGTATTGCTGTTGAAGCAAAATCACCAAAATTAATCCCTCAAACATAGGTTAACATTTCACCTTATCACTGTGCACTGATACTGTCCACCATATCTTCAAAGGCTTTTCATCTCCTCATTAATGTGTTTCTCTAGCACACTGGCTTTCTCACATTGTGAAATTTCCCATTTCAGCATTGAAAATATTAATAAAATGTTTGCTAGAATTTAGCTTCAGGTCTTAACCATAAATAATTAGCTGATGATGCACTGAATTGCACCACTGCATAAACATGTATTCTTTATTCCTCTGTAGAACAACATGATGGATCACATAGCCAGGACTGTACCTCAGTTAGCATTTCAGACAGGAGGACCCACCCAAAGACACAAAAAATTCCTTGCAGAAGAATTTCAATCCTCTGCTGCCATGTCAACTGAAAAACAGAAAATGGGGAGTTCTCACTGAAATGGGCTAGTTGATAATGTTTAAAATACAATCATATAAACCCCTTTTGTCAGTGAGCAAAAGTATTCCCAAACTCAAAATTAACAGGTCCATTTTACAGAAAGATTTACTTTAAAGCAAAACTTAGAGAAAATTCTGTATATCTCTCTTATTAATAAAGAGAACTTTGTTTTCTTGTCTTTCTCTTATTTGTTGCGTAATCTTTGCCATTGCTTTGTATTCTGCTGTAGTAAAAATTCCTGGTGGCCTGTTTGAAGCACACTTCTTAGCTCCCTTAATCTGTTGTGGTTATTGAAAACTTCTAGTGCATTGTCTTTGTGCATCCTTGCAACAAATGGGAATCTGAAGATGGACCTGGCTCTAATCAGGGTTATAACCATGAAAATGACTAAATTAGCATACTGAGAGGAGCTTTCAGACTTAAGCTCATTTTGAAATGAAAGGACTTATCTAAGACTGCAGTGAAGAAAAACTTTGAGTGTAATCCCTGAACACCAGAAAGTTTGTACCTTTTCACCTTGGGATCAGGATGTGGCTGACACTGATGGAGTAAGGGCATCTCTGAGTTTGTTAGCCCAGCCAGACACTCAGCTTTGTGCACAGCAGTTCCGCTTTCTCTTCTGTGTAACATATTTAGTGTGAGATGGACTTGGAGGAAGATTTCCTGTAACAGAAAAACCTTCTAATTACCTTTCTCTTTAAGGAGATGCCAGATACCCATTGCTTGGCCAACCCCTGCAATACAATCCATCTTTATTACGTGGACAAGTAACAAGCCAACAGGTATTAAAATTGAGAACAATCTCATGGCAGCAATGAAAAAAAACCCAATTCAAGATTGCCATTACAACCACCTTGAATAGGGGAATGTGTTATTGCACTTGGAGAGTAACTGAGTGGAAGGTGCTTGCTTTGCAATAAATTTTATTCCGTGTCAATACTCCCCATTGTTCTTGTTCGTTGTATTAAAAAAGTGAGAAACATTTTTTTTTATTTTAAGCAATTCACTAGCTAATTCAAAAATCTAAAGGGGTCCCTTTGCTAAAACTGTTTTCTTTTATTCAAGTAACCATTCCTAAAAAAAACAACCAACCAAAAAAAAAGAAAGAAACAAAAAAATGCATGCGGTAATTTCTAAAAAAGAGTGGGTTTGTTCCTTATGAGAAAAACAAACCCAAAACATTGGTGTTAGCAAAGTTGAAAAGCGTTTCCCTCTATTTAATTTTTGGGACACACAAACCCCCTGCCTCTACCTTGTTCAGTTCTGCCCAATTCCACCTTAGAGATGTGATGGCTGGGGCAGGGGAGTGTTCTTCCAAGATGAATTAAGGTGATTTCCCCCCCCCCCTCCCCACCCATCACTGACTCCCTTTATTCTGTAGTGAAGGATTGAATGTGCTTGACTTCAGGATTATCAAATTCAATAAGTAAAACTGGATATGAAAATCTTCTCTGTCCCATGGTAGTGCAGGTTGTTTTCCATTCCTCTGACTGCTTTTCACTGAGCTGACTAGAAACTTTAATATATTGATGGATTGTCATTAATGTACACCCTTTATGTCAATCTTTCCAGTGTCAGCCTGGAAACAGACACGGAAACAGGGGAAAGAAACCAGCAAAGAAGGCTGCTTCAGCAGATCTTGGTGCAGGAGAACCAGGTATGGAAATGCTGACTGACACAGTCTTCCAGAAAAATTAATCATGTTGATGGACTGAGAATGTTCAAGAAAAGCACAGGTGAGACGGGCCAGAGTGAAGAGTAATTGGACAGAAATGGACATGGCAAACATTGGAAACATAAGGATGGAGAGGAAGACATGGAAAGAGGGGAAGAGGGAAGTTAAATGGGAAAAATGTAGTTTTGAAGGCTGGAGAAAAGACCAGAGAAGTTCAGGATTGGACAGTACTAAAAGAGCAAGTATGTCAGTTTACTGGACATAAATTCTATGATACTGTAACATTAAATATTAATTATACACACCCCTGCTTCCTTTTACTGGTGTAGCAAGTGAAATCAGACATAAACCACAAATTAGTTTGTTCTTTTTCCTTTTTTTAGTTTTTCCCATTCTAATATATATAAGCACATGGATGTGGGAGACATACTAGGAGATCTACAGATTAGCTCATTGGAATCTGTAAAGATGTCATCCAAATGAAATCTGATGGCATCTGTCTTAATACCTTTACTGGAAAGAATTTTTGCTTCCTACTGTTAGCTCTTCACAGAAGATAAATCAGTTTCTTGTAACAATTTAGTGGAAAGGATTTTTTTTTTTGAGACAGACTGGTTTTTATTATTTTCCCCTCTTTGTATTCCCAGCTTTTACTTGCACACTTGTACAAGTAAGCAAATTATATTTGTAAGAAGTGCTAAATGTGAGGCCAAAGGCTCTCTAGAACATCAGGAAGGCAAAGCCTGTGGATTTGGTATCAGCTGACTGGAGATAAAAGTATGAAATAAGTAATTTTTCATTTAGGGTGTTGTACCATTAAGGGCAATAACCAATTTAGATTCATTGTTTTTCTTCTTTCAGTTGTGGGGAAGGTTCTAGAAATTACTGAGCTGCCAGAAGGCATAACTCGTATGGAAGCAGAGAAACTCTTTGGAGAACTGTTGAAAGTGGGTGCCAAGATCCGGTGGCTGCGGGATTCCCAGTGCCTGCAGGCGCAGCAGCAGCGGCGGTTCTGCGGGGACGGCGGCACGGAGCCCTCCCGCGCCGGGGACCTGGCGTCCACCTACACGGTCCTGGCCACCTTCCCCAGCATGGCGGCCGCGCAGAGCGCGCTCAAGAGACAGAGCAGTACCTCAGTGAGCAAGTTCCGCCTGAGAACCAGCAAGAAGCACTACGACTTCCACGTCCTGGAGAGGGCCAGCTCGCAGTAGCAGTTACACCGCTGGACACTCGGCCTTTGCTACTTCCATGTCCTCCCTCCTCGATTGGTTTGATGTCATGGGGTTTCTGTTCTCTTCATAGAGACTCCTGGGATGTTTTGTCACATGACATTTGCCATTGAAGAATAAATAACCCAGTGAATCCAGCAAGATGAAAAAAATTTACAGAGTTAATCCCAGACAATAGCAAGGAATCATCTTTGCGACAGGCAGCTTTCTATAAGGAACGCTGCTGAAATGCCCCCTACTTTTATAGTAGTTTTGTTTTATATTTTTGAAATCTTGTATCAGATCCAAAGTTCTATTGTACAGCAGATGTTCATAAAAATCCATATGCAGATTTGTATTTTATAATCCCTTTTCACAGCCAGCACACAGCTATCCATTCCAAGGCAGGAACCTGAGGATTGGTGGAGGGGAAAAGAGAACCATTCTTAAGGAATTATATTAATTTTCTAGCAAACTACCCAAGATCTTCAAGTTAACCTGTTCTTTGTCCCTTGTGTGGGTTTCTTTTTTGTTGTTTTTTCTTTTTTTTCTTTTTATGTTGTTTTTTTTTTTAAAAAAGAAAAAGAGATTATCATTTTAGTAACTGACTCCCTTAGGTGGTCCTTGTGTTTTGCAATACATTCAAACAATGTCAAAAGAGATCACAAGTTTGTACCCTTGAAGAATTTGCTTCTGATCCAGCAAGCTTAATAATTACTAGAAGGGGATTATGAATAGGTTACAAAAAATGTTCACTGTATCACATTTTAATATTTCTTTTTAACAAAAGTGTGAAGAAGCTTTATGTATCTTCATACAAGTGACAAAATGTTTGCACTTTAATTGTGTTCCCACCAGTATGGGTCTCTTTCTCTTCCTTTTCACGCTAAGATAATTGTGTTTGATAAGTGCTGGAAACCTTTTTAATGGTTTAAGTTTTCATCATTTGCAGATGCTCACTGGACATTAAAGATTCATTGCACATAAATGAAACAAAACTTTTTTCAACTTGTGTAATTTGCAAGTCTGTACAATGTGTGCTGATGCAAGCCTTTTTCAGTTCAAAAGAATAAATGTTTACAAACACAAACTTTTTCAGTGCACTTGTTTAAGCTTCTAGTTTTCTGAAACCTGGATGAACTCATATTAATGGCTGGGATTGTTTCAAATGTGAGAAAAGAACTTAAACCCACAAATATTGGAACCTCCTAAAAAATCACCTGCTGTTCCTTCTATGGCATTTATGTTATCCAGCCCTTCATAATATTTAAATGTTTCTCTATAAAAGTAAAAAAGAGAAATTAATCAGATGTTTTAAGATGTTTCTGATTTTTTATTTTTAGCTCAGGAACTGATTTGCTGTGTAGACAAGCAACTACTTGGTCACTTGATAAGGCTATCATTTTGTGCATTTGTGACTGAGGAAACTCAAACTTTGTGTTTAAACAACTTTTTTCAGGGGATAAAGGTGAAGAATTAAGGTGCCCAAACCAGCATTAATTCTCATTGTTTATACAAATTTTTCTATCCATGAACACCCAAACAGTGCTGAAGTACTTGGAGGAAAACTGACCTGTCTGGGAATAATGTAGCCTAATAAATTAGTTTTATGGGACTTGATCCTGTAAAACACTACAGCAACACATATTTACTAAAGGTAAACTTAGATGCTCCCCTAAAACAAAGAGGAGGATGTTCAGCTTCAAGTCCCCAGATAAAAGACAAATGTATTCATTCCAGTCTGCTTTTCTAAAAGGATGGTACTTGTGCTTGACTGAGGATGTATTTCTTGCTGCTCCTTGGGCTGGACTGCTGCACTTTACTGCACCCAAACCCAAAGTTGGTAAAAGCCCAGTTTATCAAATACTCCCTCCTCTGAACAGCACAGACACATGACTACTGCCTGCATTCTGTGACTGGCTCCTGCTGATTCCCATGCTAGTTTAGGATTGTGGTTTAAATCCTGTAAAAGCAGCTAAGAGATTAAAGAGATGTAAGGACAGGTGTTTCAGCCCAGCAAGGCAGCTGCCTCCTGTCATTAACTCATTCCACAAGATTCTTCTCAGATGTAGAAGGGTAGGCAGTAGCTGAGAGAGTTCATCTATTCTGAATGAGCCCAGCACTAAATTTTGCATCAAATCAAACCCTTTCCAAAGGATGTTGCATAGCTTACTGCATTTCTTAAACTGTCCTCACAATAAACAGAAAAGGTAATGGGAGGTAAGCGTGGAGAATGCAGCCCTTTGGGAAGGGAGGAATACACTGGTTACGAACGAGGCACAGAAAATATTTAATTTTTACCAAGGACGTTGTAAACTTTAATACAAGTTACCCTAGAAGAAAAAATTAAAACATAAAAGAAGCCAGTTGTGTTCTAATCCAGAAACCAATCCTTCCCAGTTACTACAGGTATGCCATCCTTTCTGAGGATGTTTTATTCTGTGTTAAACAGGGACAGGTAAAGTTTTTTATCAATGTGCTGATATGAGCCACACAGGTACAATTCACAGGACTTTGACACTGTCAGAGGCTTCTGATATCTACAGTGGGCAAAGTATTAAAATATTTCCACTTCACAGTTGTGTTTATTCCTGTCTTTGTGCTATTTTGTACTTTCTCTAGTAAGCAAACAGGATGCAAATGCATCTAGCCAAGAGAGCTTATACCTTCCTGGCCTTTATACTCTCCTGCTCCTTTTGGTTCCTTAAACCACATAAGCCCAGGTAATGTGTGCAAAACCTCTGGAACTGCATTTGTTCCACAGATTTGGATCACGGTCTAGGAAGCAAATAATACTTCATACATTAAATAGATGCACGTAAAATGCATTCTCATGTTCTCAACAAATCTTTTAGTACTCCAGTGTATTTGAGCTTCCTCTCATTTATGATTAAAGCTATTTTTAAAGCAAATAGTGGCAAAAGGAATTAAGTGAGGACTTCTATTGCAGCAATATAATATGTTTTGTTTTACTGAGAGCATGTCTTAACTTTCACAACTAAGGAAAAGCACTAGAAGAATAAGCAGAAAAACTGAACAAATGTGGCCATTATCTACTCCACCACAAGTTACTATTTCTTGATTTTAATTTTTAATTAACACACATTGTAAAATCCCTCCTGTGAACACTTCATATAATTTCTGATATTAGTCAAAAAGATAATTAAAACTTAATAAATTTAAGCCCCATACTTTGAGGACTCCCCAAACCCCATGGGCCTGGATGCTGGAATTGGTTGGATCATTCCAGCAGACCCTACAATATCCTCAGAGCCTGCATAAGCCTGCCAGGCTGTGGCTGATGTGTTTTGGTAAGGCACGGTTGGTTGGGAACAAGCATCTTGCATCTTCCCTTACATTCCTCCCTGAGCAAATGTGACCCGTTCTAATATGAAATATTTTGTTTTCACTCACATACACTTAGAAAAATGACATGAAAAGGAGCAGAGTGTCTGTGAAGAAAGAAACCCTGCACTGTGGTGCACACAGACTGTAGTGCTTGGGTGTCTCCACCTGCAACCAACCCTTTTGTAGGACACATGATTTTCAAGATCCAGGTGTAGAGGGCAGCTCTTTGCAGATGGGGTTTTATCAAAGCACCACAAGAACCGTGTAGCTCAGTGAATCCAATATGGTACTCAGGTACACAACACACCTTTCACAGGAGATCTTCTTACCTATTTCCTATCTCTGCAGGCCAGTTCCCTCTCAAGGTGGAATGAATGTTTATATTCTTATCCTATGACACTCATTTATGCCTTAAAACATCACACTTGACTTATCTGTTTTGAGTTAACCTTGTACTAGCTTTGATGTCTGAAAGGGAGTCAAAATTACAACCTTCTATAAATATTATTTAGCTCCATGATATATTTTTTCAACATAAAATTGATGCAGGCTTTAAGTTCCTGTATTGAGCCCTGAAGCAAAGAATGTTTAGATTAAGCTTTGGAGAAAACTGACCAAAACACTTCTAAGTTACAGGTAATGAAAAATTATTGTAGCTGGAATTTTAATATATTTCTAACAATGAATTATTTCAATCCCTTCAATGTTCCTACATCTTGATTTTCATGAAGGTTGATGCACTGCTTCTCCTCAATGTCCTACTCCTATTAACATTTAAAACATTTAAAAATTTTGGGTATTTTGGCTGCTGATGTCAATAAGTATAAAATTAAAGTGCACAATGTTAATGTGGCTTCATTTTGGAAGCTTTATTTCTTGGATGTAGACCAAAACCCTTAAAAGGGCCCGATTTCCAGAACATTCTGAAAATTAAGTCCCTGTAAGTTATCTTATTCTGGAACCTAAGACTAAAGTCACCATTCACATCCAAAACCTTCAGTGTAAATGAAGTTGTCTCTTGGATTACTTGAAAATGCGTGCAATTATGTTCTTACCACGACGTGTATGAGCCTCCTCTCACTCCAGTGTCTGCCTTGTGTCCTCACACTCGTAGGGCTGGAGTTTGGCCCTGACTCAGTTCAGCAGCCCTCACCGTAAGGTTTATTTTTTTTATCAAGCTTGCAACTGCTTGATGCTTTGCGATGTTTGTCAAAATTTGTTGGGTTGAAAGCGGATCTTGCTGAAGACATGATTAAGCATTAAAATTTGGTCCAGGAGACAAACACTTCAGTGTTTGCTGCTATTTTTTCATTTTCCAGTCTCACTGGTAAAGCTCACGCGCTGAGTCATTATATGGGATGCATGCAGCTGTAATGGACTGTGCCTGCACTTGGGAAGAGAAACAGAGTATCAGATGAGCCCAGTGCTGTAAACCAAAGAGCTGTAGAGGACAACTTGTGTGTCGCTGGCAGTTGTATGCTTTTAAAACTGGAATAAGTTATAAAAATAAACTGTGTTGCTGTGGCTAATGCTTAACAATGAAGTTTATTTCTTAATTCAGCTTCTGTGTCCCAGTTAACTGGGAATCTGAATTAGCTGGGGATTGATGACAATCCATGGTGCTGACAGCAGTGGAATGTTTCAGACACAGGAGAGCAGAGGTGGAAGGCACGCTCGATGCTGGCTGGGGTAGGGACTGACTTCAACACCAAGGGATCTGTTACACTTGATCTCCCAAAATTACTTGACAGTTTAAAAAGAATATTTACACGCAATATTGCACATCATACTTGAATTACAGTGGCCTCAGTTTGAACTTGACAGATACTGGCATTCTGCTTTTTTCTAATATCCTAACTTTTGCCCTAGCTGTGGGGTTAATTAGCTTTGCCCTTCTTTGGTTTTCCAATGTAGTTATTAAGAAATATCATTAATAAGTGTGCTCTGATAGTCTACCACACTGATTTATAGTCTGTGAAATACACCAGACCTTGACTCCACGGTTGCTCAAATTTGTTGACTTTTTACTGGCTTAAACTGATAACTGATTTGTTAATTAACTGTTGATTTAGGGTGAAGCAACAATGCAATTTAAAATAGGAATTCCCTAATAAAGATAATTTCCATTTTAATCCAGATGGATGTGTCCTGGTTTTGGGGAGAAAAAATTAGTCTCTTAGAATGTGAATTACTACCTTGCATTGTTTCCCATGCCAATAACTGAAAACACAGAAGACATCCCCCTTCAAAGAACTGAATCCCAGGTATGTTCCACCTGTCAAACTATTTTTTCTTATTTCTCAATAAAATGTTCTACTTACTAGTTAGTTATCCTTTGCTCTTCTAGAAGACCTCTGTTGTTTCCAGACACTTGTGCTAAAGGCTGTCAGATGAACAGCAAAGGCACATCCAACGGCAGCAAGTCAGTGACCCTACAGTTGGAGAATTCCACTCCTAAAATTGTAATTCTTTGAGAATGTAATAATAATAATAGTTCCTGAGCATGTAAGAGACTGTACACCTTCACAAAAATTACATGTCCAGTCAATAGTAAGCCCTTCTTTTTCTTCCTTGTTTAAAGTAGTATCGAAGAGTTTGAAAACCATACTTGCAACATAATTTTCAAAACATACAGTGCTCAACATTTCACGCACCCTTCTCGTGAAACTTGGCTTCTAACTTAGGGTTCCAAATCAGATGCAGTAAATGCAAACTACAGTTGCTGGAAATGTCAAGAGAATTAGTGCAACACATCCGAATTTATTAAAGAATTTAAGATACTCCTCAGAATCTACATGCACTTGTGTAACAGAGACGTCTCTTTTTTTATCTCCAAAAACAAATTTATAGTTTGATACTATCCAACCTTTGGCATTGTCCTTAAATCTGTTTTGTATAATGAAGAAAGAAAATACAAAAACATTCAAAATTTTTACAAATTCATCTCAGAACCATGTTCTGATGGTATTTCTTTACGAAACTTTCAGAGGCACAACACACATGCAAAGCTCATCCAGTGAGCAGAATTACTGTGACACGACTTCCATATGCTGCATCTTGGGAGAGTAAAACAGATTTTGTACACTGTTGACAGCACTGATTTGCTTCCTTTTCACTGTAAGTTTGTAGGATTTTTTAGTTGTTATTATCCAGTTACAAAAGGTGCAACAGTAAAAGCTTTCCAGACTGAAAGACTGTGCTTTTTGGCCTTTCAACATTTCAGTGTCTGCCTCAGCAAGTTACCCAGTACACACAGTCACAGTCCTAGTGGTGTTTTAGAAAAGCTCAAGTGCAGTGTTCTGTCCAAAATGTTACCATTAGAGCACTTGACATCAACTGTCCTGTCCCCGTTGCTGTGAAATGTCGACTAAGGAGTCCTTCTGCCATGCTGGCTGTGCTGTGCCAGTCCCCCACAAAGCCTGGGAGCAGGGAGGATGGCCTGGCTTCACCCCCTGCCTCGTGGAGGATCACTGCACACCACATTCAATTTTTGTTCAATTTAACATAAATTTCTGTTATTTCCTCCATCACTCCCCCCAGTCATGCCCTTGCCTCCCTCAGGGTGAGCGCTGCGGCAGGGATGGCTGTGGCCATCCTCACGGCCCCAAGTGCAGGAGGTGCCCCTTTCTCTGGCAGCTGCCTCACAGAATGATGGAATTGTCAGGGCAGGAGGGGAGCTCTGGGCATCACCCTGTCCAAGGCAGGGTCACCTGGAGCAGGTGGCACAGGAACCTGGCCAGGTGGGTTTGGGATGTCTTCAGAGAGGGAGACTCCGCACCCTCCCTGAGCAGCTATTCCAGTGCTCTGCTACCTGCAATGTAAAGAAATTCTTCCTCATATTGAGGTGAAATTTCTTGTACTGCCATTGCTGCTCTTCCTGTCACTGGGCACCCACCACTGAAAGGAGTCAGGCACCATCCTCTTGGTACCTGCCTTTGAGATACTTATATTCTATTGTGCATTACAGAATCACAGAGTCAACTGGTTTAGAAAAGACCTCTGAGATCGAGTTCAAACTGACCAAACACCACGATAACCAGACCATGGCACGGAGTGCCACATCCAGGTTTTCTTTAAAGAGCAGAGGAACGGTGACCCCACCACCTCCCAGGGCATCATGTTCCAATGTCTAGACATCCTTTCTGTGAAGAATTTTTTCCTGATGTCCAAACTAACGCCACCCTGGCGCAGATTAAGACTATGTCCTATCATTCTGTCGCTGGCTCCGTGGGAGAAAAGCTCGACTCACACCTAGCTCCACCCTCCTGTCAGGGACTTACGCAGAGCGCTAAGGTCCCCCTGAGCCTCGTCTTCGCCAGGCTGAGACACCCTCTCAGCCGCTCCTCACAGGACTTGTATAAATGAGATCCCCTCTCAGCCTTCTCTTCCCTAGGCTAAATCCGGTCAGCTCCCGCCCCCTGTCCTTACGCCCCGAGCCCGTTTCGCAGCGGGACAGCGCAGGGAGCGATGCACGGCGGCGGAAGCACCCCGGCCGCTTGCTAAAACGCCAAGATGGCGCCGTGCTGAGGGGGGGGCGGCATCCGGCACCGCCCCCCGCGCGCGACC